CCATTAAGAAAGTACGAGATCTTAATTTTAGTGGTGTCACCCGTAGGGGAGCCTATACCACAATTAATTTATTTACCGACAAATTAGAAATAGAGGCCTTAGGAACTTTACAATTAATTTTAATTTAAAATCCCTTCTCAAACTTACTATAATTTAAATGAGGATTTTTACTTATTTAAATATTTATGCAATTCTAAATTAATCTTATGTAAATGCAATAATTAATTAACATGCATAAATAAATATGGAATTCTAAATTAATCTCATGCAAATAAAATAATTAATTAACTTGCATAAATAAATAAATAAATAAATAATGGCATAATGAATATAAATAAATAAATTAATAAATCCACTATTATGACCATTAAATATTGAGTTCCCATAAACAAGGAAACCTTGTATATTTTCTTTTCATGTTCAACTGGAACTCCCACTGCAGTAGAATCCTTGTAGATCTTGTACTGCTTGGCCACCAAGTAAAAAACACCTCACCCTAGCTGCCAGCCACCGCCGCCACCGCCACCTGCCATCACCGGTCGGCGGTGAAAATTCGGCGGCAAGATTTTTTTTCGCGCGCCTTCGTGCGCATCTCTGGGCTCCAGTCCGGTTGCTTTTTCGAGGCTCGTTATCTCTTGTAATCTCTCGGCAATTAATCCACGATTACAACACGAAAAATATAATTTACAAAATTACATAATCCGATCCTAGATCCAACGAATGGATGTACATGTTTTTCTAAACAAATAATTAAATCTATCCGGTCAACCCCCGGGCGAATAATTATTACAAACATTCATCCATCAAATTCCTCGACATGTCTGAGGCTTTAAAAACAAATTTAAAACCATGCATCACATTCAACAACATTCATCAAACACAAAGTCGGCCATAATAGTGAACTAAACTAATTTTCGCAAAACCGAGTTATGCGAATATAATCCAATATATATGGTTGCGTTTGAACACATCTTGTCAAATAAAGTCGTAAAAATTTGAACTTGTACAAAATGAATTAAACCAAGTGATCTAACAGCACTTGTTGGGATCTATGAGAGTCTCGTTATGTACTAATCACGAATTCATTAGCAAACGTAAACCTATGCGCAGCGGATCTAAAGGTTTGATGTAGAAAACTTACGGCTTAAAATTTATGGCGATCTGGCTGATCTTCTAGATGGTCGTACACAGCACACCAATGAAAAGTTGACTGCAAATCACGTCTTAGGATTGCACGAACAAGATCGGATCGAAAAACGGATCAAACGGGTGCAAAACGGATGAAGACAAGCTTGCAGTCCTGGGACCTTTCGGTGGCACGTGAGGGCGCTTGCGGCGTCGGACAACGGCGATCTCATCGGTGATGGAAAGCTCTCGTCCAAACGGTCTCCTAGGTGTCTGGGTATGCTACACGCCTTGATCGGACCTCCAGTTAGTTGTGTACGATAAAATATACTTCATCTCGGTTTACCTACAGATCTTCTACTATATATCTCAAACACCTCTTAATCTTGTACCGGTGCAACAACAAGAAAGAGATAAAGCTCGAATGGAAACTGAGAGAGAGATGAGAGGCGGCGGTTATTGGCGTGAATAATGATTCGTGTTCTCTTTCTATGAGCTTAATGATGTATGTATAGAGCTATAGTAGGGACCCTTAGGAGATTAGGATTAGGGCTCCTTAATTAATTAAAGTACTTGTGAACCAATCCACTTATTTTAATTAATTAAATATTATTAAATTAGCCACCAACATAATATAATTGCACTCCCTTTTCCTAGCCAATTTACAATGGAGACTCCAATAATAATTACTCGATTTATCTTCTCATGTTTAAGATATAATGTCTATTAATTAATTCGATTATTGACAATCAAGAATTAATTAATTTTATTATTATTTTACCGAAGCTAGCGCTCGTTCATCACATTCATACTATGCTGGAATTTAATCCACCTGCAGGGTTTAGCATAATAATCTTTCATAAACTCACTCCGGGAATATTACCCAAGATAACGGGTCTATTGGCCCAGTTCATTAAGCCTCACCCATGTGAATCAAAGTAATAAGTACTACACATATATGCATGTTTAATATCTTACAGGTTAAGAGCATGCAGTAATTAACCGAGTTCCAGTTCGTTTACGACGATTAGTATAAAACGAATTGCTCCTCTCTGAGATCTTGTTCATTACATAAATGTACTAGTGCAACTAATCAGTCAAGACAAACTGTACGGTTGACACTACAACCGTTCACGATGGGGTGTTCATGTCCATCTGAGTTGTGAACCACTTATTCTTGTTTCGCGAGTAACTGATAGTATGATCTCCGATTCACCCGATGACGACCCACACTATCTAATGCAAAACAACAAAACGTAGAACTTATTTAATCTAACGTGCTTCTCATTCATAAACTGTAAAATTGTAATATCATCAAGGTTTCAGTATATAACACTAACACCGAGGATGTTTGATGACTTCAAGAGAGCTATGGCGAAGGAGTTTGAGATGACTTATATTGGGTTGATGTTCTATTACCTTGGCATTGAAGTGAAACAAAAAGACGATTGGATATTTATTTTGCAAGAAACTTATGCAAAAGAAATCCTCAAGAAATTGAGGTGGAGCATTGCAAGCCCGTCTACTCCCGTAGAATGTGGAGTGAAATTATCTTTGCATGAGGAAGGTGAGAAAATTAATTCCATATACTTCAAAAGTCTTGTGGGAAGTTTGAGGTACTTGACTTGTACGAGGCCAGACATTATGTTTGGAGTTGGACTCATAAGTCGTTGCATGGAGGCTCCTACTTCGTTGCATTTAAAAGTGGCAAAAAGAATTCTTCGCTATATTAAATGTATAGTTGATTACGGAATTTTCTATACAAATTCGCAAGATTTTAAGCTAATTGGCTATTGCGATAGCGATTGGGCCGGTGACATTGATTGTCGGAAAAGTAATATTGGATTTGTTTTCTTTATAGGAAATTCTACAAATCACGTGGAATTCAAAAAAGCAACCGATTGTGACTCTTTCTACTTGTGAAGCGGAGTATGTAGCTGCCACTTCGTTTGTTTGTCATGTTATTTGGTTGAGGAGTTTATTGAAAAAACTCAATTTTCCTCAAGAAGGTCCGACCGAAATTTGTGTTGATAATAAGTCGGCAATACAATTGGCGAAGAATCTAGTGTTTAGCAAGAGGAGCAAGCATATCGATACGAAGTACCATTTATTCCGGATTGTATCTCCAATAAAGAAGTGAAACTGGAGTACGTGAAGTCGAAAGACCAGGTTGCGGGTATCTTCACGAAGCCGCTGAAGCTCGATATGTTCAAGAACCTACGATTTTCTCTTGGAGTGATGAATTTAGTTTAAGAGGGAGTGCTGAATTGTTAAACTAAAATAATGTTTGTTAATATATCTAGGTGGTCATGTTCTCGGAATTTACATAATTCATGAATGTAAGTTATAAGATGCATGAAGGTAAAATGTCGGTGAAATGCATCATAGTAATTAGGGGAGTATGAAAAGGTATTCTTATACCTATAAATACCTTAGGTGAATCATTTGTAAATTGTAAGAGTGAAAAAGCCAAGAAAAAGAAGAATATAATAAAGTTTTTTACTTCTCATCTTCCATTTTCTAACATCAAATACAGAAAGAAGGCACAAAAACACAACTTGATAAAGAAAGTTATCGCCTAATTGCAGGCAGATGGATATTACAACGCTTGCAAATTTTGCACTATAAAGGCTGATTTTATAATTAATACCTCTAATGTGAGGTCTGTGTTTTGAATTTAACACGTCAATGAATCCCTTTGTTTCATGTGATAAATTAACCTATTCAATATGATCTCAAAAGGTAAAAAGTCTATAAATGTATGTCATGTTTTGTTGAAATTTATCAGCTAGACATGGATTTAATATATTATAGGTGGTGAAACAATTCGATATTAGTACGGACTTGAAATCGAGGTCATACATATATAGTTAGCCTAATATAATATTTCTAAATTGTAAGAAAGCTGGAAATTAAAGATGAAATTAGTTAGGGCGGCAATGAAAAACACGTTTGGGGATTGTGTTTGGGATCGTGTCCTCTTCCAAAAAAAATCTTTTTCCTCCTCTCCTCTTCCAAAAAGAAAAACTTTAGATCCGCCACCGTCGTCTGTCCCCCTTCCGCCTCAGGCCTGCTCCTGCACTATTTGAGTCGATTTTCATCTAGTCGAGGCTGGGGGCACTCTTTTCCGCCTGTTTCGAGGCCTTGCAGGAGTGTGATCGAGCTCGCCGCTCACTCTTCAGGGCCAAGGTGGGGTCGTCGGTCGTCAGCTCCAGGTCCCTTTCGAGAGCTCTGCGGCATGAGTCATTGGTGGCTTTTCCGGCGGCTCCCCTTCTTCCCCAGCGTGGATGAATTTTCGGAGTCCAGATCTGAATCGAGAGCACTCTTCATCAGATCCGTCTAGGCAGCTCGAGTGACAGCAATTTTCGGGCTTCAGGTTCCGATTTGCGGCTTTGTTTGATCTCTATGCTATTGGAAGTGACTCGTGTACTTTCTCGGGTGGCCGAGCGTTGGGTTTGTTAGGTGTAAGGGAAGTTTTAGTTTATTTATATATTAGGTGTGTGTTTTTATTTGTTTTTCATGTATGACCCAACTTGTCTGGTATTATCTCCTTCATGGAGTTTCGTTTTGTTTTTGTTGTTGCTTGAGTTGTACCTCTTGGATTTCTCTAGGATTTCAACAGAGTAGGTCGAGTTATCTAATTCGTTGATGTCAATTGGCATTCTCTATGTACTATTTTCGAGTTTTCTATTTATATAAGTATTTGTCGTTTGAAAATAAAAATAAAAAAATGAAATCATTTTGTTTATCCAGAACACATGATCATTAATTCTTTGTTTTTCTACATTAGATAACGATGATACAACACTAGAGAAAGCTACTCTCATGTGGAAGAGTGGAAATGGGGTTTTGCACAAATGAAAAATTAGTCCTATTTATTTATGGCTACTCAGATCTGAGTCTCTTTGTTTCTTGATGGCTTGTTTATTGTTGTGCATCCAAACCTTGAACACCTGCCTTTGAACCCCAATTTGGGTGCAAAACTGCTGCACCTCGGCCTCGTCTTGCTTCTGAATCCTCCAGCCGAGTTTGGTGGCAAACTCGTGCATACGCTCCTTCTGCTCCTGCTTGAATTTCGTCCTGAACCTCTTCTTTGAAACCGATGACGATACTGCCGCCGTGTGGCCGCCACCGGCCTGAAGGGCGTCGAGATCCTCACTGGACGACTCCCCTCCACCGAAGCTGACCATGGTGTAGTGGGGACTGAGGTGTGGAGGAGGCGCCGAGGATGGATTCCGGCGGTGGCTGTTGTTGGCGCCGGGGTGGAGGTTGTTCACGCTGTCGGGCTCTTTCCGGTGGAAGTTGCGGTGGCAGTCGCACGCGGCGCAGCGGAGGGCCTCCGGCGTGCCGTCCTGGCCGCCGGGCATGAACTCGCCGCACCCGTCGACGACGTGGGCACCCATGCTGGCCGCGTGGTTCTTGAGGCATTCCTTGTACATGACGGCAGGCGGGGGTTCCTTTGGGTTGGAGGCGCTTGCGGTGGCCGGATCCGGATCTGGATCTGGACCTGGGGAGCCACCGTCGCTATGCTGCTGTGGCGGCGGAGGCGGCGGCGGTAGCGGAGGGCTAGGTTGCTGCTGCTG